TTTCTTTCTTTTCTTTTCTTCCATCCTTCATTTCCTTTCTCTTTCTTCCTCTTTCTTCCTTCCTTCATCGCATCTTCCTTCCTTCCTTTTCTTTCTTTCTTCTTTCTTTCTGTCTTTCTCCCTTTTCCTTCCTTCCTCCCTCCCTCCTTTTTCCCGGGTGGTGAATTGGGCTGGGATAGAATGACTGGCCTTAGATCATCCAGTTGGCTTTGATGCATAAAGTAGGACTAGAACTCCCAATCTCCTGGGGATTGGTCCAAAATCACCCAGCCGGCTTTCATTCCTAGGGCAGGACTAGAACTCACCATCTCCTGGTGACCTCCTGATGGGCAAAGCCAACGGGGAAGCCAGATTCGCTGAAGAACCATGTTACTTACCAAACAACTGCAGTGATTCACTTAACAGCTGTTCCAAGAAAGGTCATAAAACGGAGCAAAACACACAATCTCCATTTTGGTCATAAGCATTTCTAGGCACCCACCCTCAATCTTTCCTCCAGCCTGCAGCCCTGCCCAGGGGCACCCGCAGGAAAGGGCCAGAGCGAAAGGGTGGGTGGGGGAGGAGGAGAGAGATTTGTAGTGACCCCTCCCCCTTGCCCACTCCATACCCTCTTCCGGAGCCCGCAGCTCCTCCTGGGTGCCGGCCACCTTCAGCACCGCCAAGCGCTGCTCCTCCGTCCCTTCACACAGCAGGCGGGACACTTCGGCCTCCACCCCTTGAGCCCGCAGCATGGCCTGGAAAGTGCGCAGGGCAGCGCCGTTGTCCAGGACTTGGCCGATCTGGGTGGCCCCCGTGGACACTGAGCTGGCTCTCCCGCTCTGCCACAGCAGGAGGCCACCTGGAGTGAGAGAGAGAGAGAGAGAGAAGTCAGCACAGCCGTCCGAGGCCACGTGGAGCGTTTAGAAATGGGAGAGGGGCTCAGGGGTGCCCCCCGCCCCAATGCAGGGACTGGTGGAGTGTAAATGGTAGACTGCAAGGGTTAAGAGGGCCCTTGAGGTCATTTAGCCCAACCCCCTTTTTCCAGGTAGGGATTCCTATTCAAGTCTCCTTCGCAGTTGCTGGTCAAGGACTTGCTTGGACACACCGGAAGGAGTTTTTCCTCTCTCCTGCAGCTTGGGAATTTTTTTTCACCCTCATGTTGTGTTGGTGGGCAAAGGATGGGCGAAAATGGGCCTCCCCGGACTCCGGAGGCTCTGGAAGCCAGAAACGGGTCCATTTCCGGCCTTCCTGAACTTCCGGGAAGCCCGTTTTTCACCCTTCCCGAGCCTCCATACATGCCCTACATCCAAAACGGGCCACGTGGGGACTCCTGCGAGGGGCATGGCAGGGTGGGTGGGGCCAGCCAGGAGTGGGATTTGGGGTTTCTCCAAACTGCACAGAATCTTAGCTAGGGGATCTCCCGAACCCCTGGAAGCCCCCACCAGCCCAACCCTGGGGCTGACCCAAAAAACTCCTTCACCAACCTTCCATTGTGAGCTTTTCCTTCTCCTTCCATGAACAATTCCCTAACAAGCCAAAGGGTACCCTTGGTGGGGGGAGAGGGAATTAAGGGCAATGCAATAACCCCTTTTTCTGTTTTGTTTATTATATTTTGCAGGGCGTGATTTCTTTTCAAGGGGGGACGCCTGTCAGCTTTGGAAGCCATATTGAGATCAGATGCTCTCGCTCTGCCACATTTGAACCCGGGAAAGCGGGAAGGGAAATTTCTTGGAGTATATGTAGTTAGGCATAATAAAATTATTTTTCTGGTTCAAGGTCAGGTAGTGTCTCACATAAGTGAGAGGAAGTCTTAACTTGGGACGGATGGTGATTGGGCCATGTGATGTGATGATGGGTGCAGCGGATGGATTTGTAGTTTTTACTTATTGTAAGGAAGCCCAAAACTTTCAGATTCGGGGATTCCACAGTTGTGCCAGTTACTATCCAGATAAAAAGGAACCTTTGAGAAGATGTCTGTCTCGGAGTTACTGGACGGAATGGAAGGTTGCTGGAACACTGACATTCATACTCGCTCGAGGTGCCCCATCAAGGCGCCATCCGTGAAACACACCTAGTGTGGTGACCAGCTCACGCAGGTCCCCAGGGCCACCTCCTTCCAGGCACTGCAAGGTTTCGAGGACTTCCAAGGAATTGCCCACTCGGGCACCCACGGGCTCATCCATCCTGCTCAGAACGGCCGCCGTTTTCATCCCGAGCTGGTTTCCCACGGACACCTAGGGAAGATGGAGAGAACAGGTGGGGAAGGTGAGATTTCTCCACCCTTAGTTGGTGGAAGTAGTCCCAGATCTTTAGGGAAGCTTCTGCAAGAAGGTCAACGAGCTGGACCTTGAAGATGGCCCTCTTGCGTTGTACACCACCTAAACTTCTTCTGATCCGAAGGTTGGACTCGACCGTTCGAGTGGCCTGAGTTAAGTGATGTCAAAAGTCATGGGGGAACTTTGGGGTTCCTTCTTCAGGCTAGAGATTCATCCTACAGCCCTTCAGACAACCTTCAGATCTCCTGCTTCAGTGTGGAAAGGGCGTTGGACTGCAGGACCTCCAGGCAGTGGTGCGATTCAACCAGCATCGCAACCGGTTCGGTGAGCGTGCGCTGCGCACGCATAGCATTTAGGAAAGACCATTTTTAGCTATAATACTGACCTCCTGCCGCAGCCGCGGTGATAAAACAGCTGGTGCGTGGCAAAGCAAGGGCTCAAAAACAAGGAAATAAAGCACAGGAAAAGGGCAGGGGTAGATGGATGGGGCCAAATCATCACTGGAACTACCAGTTCTCCCAAACTGGTCCAAACCAGTAGAATCCCACCCCTGCCTCTATGGTTCCTTCCAATTCTGTTATCCTTTCTGTGAGCAGATGCTGTTCTGACCCAAACCTTGTTCCGAGGAAACAAACACCAAACGGAGGTAACAGCAAAACCTTTTAATGCCTCTCTGAGAATTCCGTTCCTTCACGGTTAAAAGGCTGTTTCAAACTATTTGTCTCTGATAAGAACGAGCCTTGCCAAGGCTGTGCAAGGCTGCCAAGAACACTAGATAAAGTTACTAAGAAATATTTCAAACACAAAGAGTCTCCAAACACAAACTAAGGGAGTCCGAACATCCACAAGGCTTGAGTGAAAAAACTTCTTTGCTTCCTGCACAGAACTCCGGTTTCTCAGCTGGCTTTTATCTCTTAAGGGAGGGGCCATTACCTTGTAGCCTTACTCCTGAGTCGCCTGTGCTGCTGCAGCTGCTCTTTCCTGCTAGCAGCCCTGCGCGCATGTGCACTGGGCACAGGCTCCTCGGGATCCTCTTCCTCACTGCTGCCAGCCTCCACAAGCTCCGCAGGCAGCACTCCACTCCCTGATGGTCCTAGCCCCATCCCTGCATCACACGCAGGCCCCTCGTCTGAGTCCTCGCTCTCCGAGACCTCAGCCGTCCACACCTGCATCTGTCCCATGGAACCCAAAGAAAGTCCAGGAGGATATAGGATCCCCTACCATGGGCAAGATGTTGGACCACAAGACCTCCAAGGTCCCTTCCAACCCTATCATTCTGTGTCCTCATGTAGATTTCCCCAGCTGCTTTGTTGGTTGAGGATTATGGGTGCTGAAATCTAGCTTATCTGGAGAGTTACAAGTTGGACGGGGTACAGATTTAGTCTCACCAGGTTTCGGGCAAGCTGCTCAGCGCTCTCCAAAGTATGGTACAGGGCAGCACTGCCAAATTTGACATCCAGCACCAGAGCCGAGAGCTTCTCCACCATCTTCTTACTCAGGATGGAACCTAAGAGCCAAGAAAGGAGCCGCTGAGACTATGGTGCACAGCTCTTCCCCCCCCCGGAGCTCATAGAAACATAGAAAGCTGGAGACAGAAAAAGACCTCGTGGCCCATCAAGTCTGCCCTTTATTTATTTTTTTAGTTTTGTTTTTAATTTATTTCTTATTTTTTTAATTAACATTTTATTTTTATTTCTGGCAGAGGATAGATATGAGAGTGGTGCGGCGGCCTAGAGGTGGAGCTCTCATATCACAATCAGGAGGCTGTGGGTTCAATCCTAGATAGAGGCAGATCTTTTTCTCTCTGGGCACATTGAGAATTTATCTGCTGAACAAAACTCCGTACTGGTGACAGGTAGGGCATCTGGCCAGTAAAACACTCGGCTCCATTCAGTTGCCTAGACTCCACCCCATAAGGGTTATGGAGTCATTAAAAGATGATTTGCTAGTCATAGTCCTTGAGTGGTACAGTTGGCTTAGAAGTGGAGCTCTTGCCTCACAATCAGGAGGCTGTGAGTTCGATCCTAGGTAGGGGAAGATATTTCTCTTTCCGCAGGATGAGAATTTATCTGCTGAATATAACTCCGCACTGGTGACAGGAAGGCATCCGGCCAGTAAAACACTCAGCTCCATTCAGTTGCCCAAACTCCACCCCAGTGCAAGGGATTATGGAGTTGTTAAAAAAAAAAAGAAGATAGACATTTGTGTATCCCAAGCACGCTTAAGCTCATTTCCTGGTGACTGACCCAAAATCGCCACTGGAAGTTGGTTCCAAGCTCCCATTGCTCTTTCTGTGAAATACAGGCAGTCCTCGACTTACGACCACAATTGAGCCCAAAATTTATGTTGCTAAGTGAGACAAGTGAGTTTTGCTCCATTTTGAGACTTTTCTTGCCATGTTTGTCAAGAGAATCACTGCCATTGTTCAATTAGTAACCCGGTTGTTAAGTGGATCTGGCTTCCCCCATGAACTCGGCTTCTCGGAAGGTCGCATAAGGATGACACCCCCCCCCCCAGGACACTGCAACTGTCATAAATGTGAGTCTGTTGTCAAGCGTCTGAATGTAAATCACGTGACCCCGGGGGATGCTGCTACAGTCGTTAAGTGTGAAAAGGGGTCCTAAGTCACTTTTCCCAGGGCCATTGCAACTTTGAACGGCCACTAAGCAAACTGTGGTAGGTTGAGGACTATCTGTACAGGCCGTCAACTTAAGACCACCACTGGGCCCAAACTGGCTCCTATTTATGACGGTTGCAGTGTCCCTGGGGGTCACGTGATCCCCTTCTCCCCAAAGTCAATGGGCAGAAGCCAGATTCACTTAACAAACCTGTTTCCAGCTGAACAACTGCTCTGATTCACTTAACGACGGCAGCAAGACAGGTCGCCAGATGGGGCAAAGCTCACTTAAGAAACGCCTGTCCGAGTATTCATTGACTGGCAGAGACATAGTTAAGAGAGTCAGTGAGTAGGCATGGCAACAGACCAGCCAATGGGAGCTAACCTGGAAAGTGAAACTAGAAGTTCTCTCTCTCTTCTGCTCTGAACCTGTAACATGTCTGCTTCTCTTTGAGTTTGCTCCACGCTGGAGAAATCTACAACTGGTACTGTAAAATTTACTTTATCTGTTTATAAAGAAGTTAAAGAAAGCCTCAGCCATCTAGTTCTGAATTTATGCTGTGATACTCTGAGCAACGCCTCACTTAGCAACGGACGTATTGGGCTCAGATGTGGTCCTACCTTTAAAATACTCCGACCACGCAGTCCCACAGACTAGAAAGCCCAACATTTAACATCATCAGTGCCCTGCAGGAATTCAAACCCTCCAGCATCGGAGGACCTACCGATGATGAGGGGCAGGCTGTCCACCGTGGCTGTGATGTCTCTCAGGGCATAGAGGACCTTGTCGGCTGGGACCAGGTGTTGGCTCTGCTCCACAATGCAGCAACCGACTCGTTCCAGGATCTCTTTCATCTGCAGGAGGACAAAGCCCATCGTTTGGGGTCAAAAGAAGCAGGATTCTGTCCTGGTTCTTCCTTCATTGCCCAGGCAAGTCTAGGGGACAACCTCAGCCTAAGTTCTCACAACATCTTAAACCACAAACACACTGGATCTAATCGAAGGGAACTCATAGAAGAAAATATTTACAGCTCAGGGTTGAACTGTGGGGTCCCGGGTGCTCTCTGAGCTGGGTGGTTTTCTTGCAGACGTTTCATGACCCAGCTAGACAACTTCATCAGTGCTAGGAAAGTGGGGGCAGCAGGGTTAATGGTGCGGAGGTGGAGAAAGAGGAGGAGGAGCAGGAGCTGGAGGATGTGGGGTCCTTGGTGCTCTCTGAGCTTGGTGGTTTTCTTGCAGACGTTTCATGACCTAACTAGATAACATCATCAGTGCTCAAGGGAAAGGGGAGGAGGAGAAAGAGACAACAACCACGGGGTCCTTGCCGCTCTCTGAGCTGGGTGGTTTTCTTGTAGTCGTTTTGTGACCCAAGTAGGGAACATCAGCAATGCTAGAAAAGGGAGGGAGGTTTGTGAGAAGAGGAAGAAGAGGAGGGAGAAGAGGAGGAGAGAGAAGAAGAAGAGGGCGAAGAGAACGAGATTGCAGCTGTGAGAGATCCTTGGTGCCTTTTGAGCTTGGCTGTTTGCTTGCAAGATATTTCTTGACCCAACTAGGGAATATCATCAGTGCTAGAGGGGAGGGAGGGTTGAAGAGGAGGATAAGGAGGAGGAATTGCAGGAAGAGGAGGAAGAGGACTGGGACATTGGGACACCGAGGTCCTCGGTTATTTTCTTGCAGACGTTTCATGATCCAATTAAGGAAAGCTAGAGATTTGCTCTCTGTAACAAGTTGTTTTGCCCTGTTAAGGAACTGCCAAGAAAAAACTAACACCCCCAACCACACTGACAAGACAACCCCCACTCCCTTCTAACACTGATGCTTTTATCTGCTTGGGTCATGAAGCACATTGGTCATCTCACCTGCTCTGGGCTCTGGGAAACACAGAAGCCTGGCACGGATTCCAGCTTATCCAGTGTGCCCCCGGTATGGCCCAGTCCCCGGCCACTGATCATGGGCACCTGCTCAGGAGAAAGAATCACCAAGGATAAACTGTGTTAGAAATTCTGTTTATATATAGCACCACAGAACAAACAAAAAGTACATACAGTCACCATGTGCTTTACTGCTTAACTACTTTTAATCGTAGCAAGAAACAGGAAACTCTACTTAGAACAGAAGAGCATAGAGTACTGTTATACCATAGTTCCAAACTTGCAAACACTGCCATCTATTTGCTGAATACTACTGCAGTTGTTGCATAAAAATACATTACAACAAATTGTGTGGTGGAGGAGGCAAAAAGGCCTCTAAGACCAGCTCAGAAGCAGAAGAAGGAGCATCGTGCCTCGTTCCTGGGCAGAGGAAGCCCTCCCACCCAAGTCTCTGTGTGATCCAGTTGCTTACTTTCATTTTGTGCATTGGAGAAACACAGAGAGGGAGGTTTGCAGTCTAGTGCTTGACCCAAATCCTAAATATGAAAATTCTACCCATCCCCAATTCTGCAGCATTGATGTCCCTTCTTGGGGTTTTCTCATTTCAGATTCTGCCCAGGTAAAGCAAAGAGAGGACACCCAAACTTTACAGCAGTGCTCGATAACCTTGGTAGCTTGAAGATGGGTGGACTTCAACTCCCAGAATTCCCAGGCAGCATCTTATAAGAAGGGTGGACTTCAATTTCCATAATTCCCCAACCAGCAGGTGTGAAGATGGGTGGACTTCAACTCCCAGCCAGCCAACCTTTCAATCTCAACCTCAGCCACTTTAAGATGTCCACAGAGGAATTCTGGGAGTTAAAGTCCATTCATCTTAAAGTGGCCAAGACTGACAAACACAGATCTGGACGCTGACACACAATGCCAGATTCTTGGCTTCTCGGTCTCCAGAGTCCATCCCAGCAGCTGCTCCTGAACTGGGCACTTGCTGAGCTCAACATCTCTATCATACTTTATGTTGTAGCTGTCAGTCCTGACCCTGGCCAGTTTCAGAATTAGAATTCTTGATTGGCCAAGTGTGATTGGACACACAAGAATTTGTCTTGGTGCAAATACTCTCAGTGGACAGAAAAAGAAAAGATACATTCAACAAGAATCATAAGGTACAACACTTAATGATAGTCATAGGGTTATATAATCATAGGGAATACAGTATATAGAATATAGTCACAGGGTACAATAACAAATCAAATCATACTAGGAAACAGTCAATATAAATCGTAAGGATACAAGCGACAAAGTTACAGTCATACAGTCACAAGTGGGAGGGGATGGATGACAAGGAGTGATGAGAAGATTAATAGTAATAGTAGTGCAGACTTTGTAAATAGTTGGACAGTGTTGAGGGAATTACTTGATGGCATTTGGGGAAAAACCCTTGTGTCTAGTTGTTCTGGTGTGCAATGCTCTATAGCATCATTTTGAGGGTAGGAGTTGAAACAGTTTGTGTCCAGGATGTGAGGGGTCTGTAGATATTTTCACATCCCTCTTTTTGACTCCTGCAGGGTGCAGGTCCTTGATGGAAGGCAGGTTGGAAGTAATTGTCATGATCATAGTTCTCATTTAAAATGCATTCATCCTAAATCATAAGAAACAACACTTAGTGATAGTCATAGGATACTAAATAAGCAGTCCTACTAGGAAAGTAAATAAAACAATATAAATTGTAAAGATGTAAAGCAACCTTTTTGCTCGTATCTTTATGATTTATATTGTTTTATTTAGTTTCCTAGTATGCTTGCTTATTTAGTATCCTACAACTATCACTAAGTATTGTATCTTATGATTTTGTTGCTTGCATATTTTCGATTTATATTGTTGTATTTAGTTTCCTAGTTTGATTGCTTATTTAGTATCCTACGACTATCACTAAGTGATAGTCTAATCTTATGATTTAGGATAAATGTATTTTAAATGAGGACTATGATCATGATTTAATCACTTATAGCTTTTGTGTACACTGAGAGCTTCTGCACCAGAGAAGGTGCAGAATTTAGTATCTTTCTAATTTAGTATCCTACGACTATCACCAAATGTTGTATCTTATGACTTGGTTGCTTGTATCTTTACGATTTATATTGTAAGTAGAAAAGGAGATCAATAATAGGAAAAATGAGAAGAAATCAAGGGAACCTGGATTTGCCCACATTCATACATTAAGAGAACCAGGATTCACAACCAGCTGGCAGCAAAGCCAGATGTGAGTCAACAAAATGGCATCTGGCCGTCTTGACGCACCTTGCAGCCACAGGCGGCCAACGCGGGAGCCAGGGGCAGGCTGACTTTGTCCCCTACGCCCCCCGTAGAGTGCTTGTCCACCAGCAGCCCTCGCCACTGTGCCGGCCAGTCCAGGGTGGTCCCCGAAGCAGCCATTTCCCGGGTCAGCACCATCGTCTCGGAGGGCTCCATGCCTCTCAAACGGATAGCCATCAGCATGGCGCCTGGAAGGAGAGAAGAGAGGGATCCTGGCTGGGGGGGAAAAAAAGGGGGCCAAGGGAAGCTCGGAGAGGCCTTTGGGCTGCAAACCATGATGGCTAAGTCGTGGTTTAACTGTGACTGAAGTTTACCCAGCCCACAAAATGAGAGAGCATTGCCTGCAAAAATTAAACTCCAATGGCTTTGGACTTCTGAACGAAGGAAATGGGACTAGAGTTCATTAAAAGATGTTTCGGTCAACTCTGGATGACTGTAACCAATCATGGCGCCAGTTTATTGATAAGGGTTTGTGTTGTGGCTCCGATTCCTGAGCCTGTGCTGTTAGAGGAAAAGGACTCAGAAGATGAGGAGGAGGAATTGGGACCTTCCTCTCTGGCGATGCCTTCCTCCCTGATAATACCTCAGGCTTCAGCAGACAACCGAGAGGAACAGCCTGAGATTAATCAGGAGGAGGAGGGCATATCGGAGCAGCCCCTGACAGGGAATCAAGTGGACGAATGTTGGCTTGATCCTAGGCAGCGTCGTAGGAAGAAATGTGAGCTGCAACGTAGGAGGCGTGGACGGGTCCAGAGAGTGAGCTGAGTCATTGAGACACACCCCACAGGGGATAAAAGTGGGTGTGTTGTCGGCTGGAACTTTGTACGGGACCAAGTTTTACTTCTCTTCCAGGTTTCAGTTCGACTGTTTAGACTGTCTGCTTTGGAATCTTTAGTGAGTAATTTTTTCTTGTTATCATTTCGGACTTGGCAGGCAGCGTGTGTTGGAACGCCAAGGACATGATCAGCATAAAAGATTAACTCTGTAAAGACCGAGTCTTCTTGCCTGCCTGTGTTTGTTTGAGTTTGGACTCTTTTATCTTTCTTGGAAAGAAGAAAGAGGAGACATAACAGGTATGTCTGTAAATCGATTCTTAGTTTTTGCTTTATGTTTTCTCAGTTTCCTTCCCCCTCTGAATAGTTTTGTGCATGCTTTTTCCTTGTGTGCACTAAATTTAATTAATATTAATTAATATTAATTTAATTTTAATTAATTATTTCATACACATTTCATTCTTTAATCAAAAACATTTCATTCTTTCGTTAAAATGGTCTAATTTAAAAATATTTCATTCTTTCCTTTAAATATTTAATTATTCGATCAAAAAACATTTAAGTATTTCCTTTGTTCATGTAATTTGAAAATGTTTAAGGGCATCCTTTGAAAACATTCAGTGGTTTTGTTTGAAAATTCATTCTTTCATTGAAAGCATTTTAGTGTTTCATTTAAAAATATTTGACATTCTATCATATAAAGTTTTAATCATTTGATTTCAGGCCTTTTAATCCTTTCTTTTAAAATATTCAATGACTTCATTTCAAAATATTTAACTCTTTCAATTGAATTGTTTAATTCATTTTATTAAATTATTAATATTTTATTTTATTAAATTAAATTATTTAATTTTAAAAATATTGAACTTTGGGGGGGGGGGAGAAGCCCTCATTTGCAAACCACAGTTGTGTTATAATTTTTTTTAAATTGTTTGATTTAATTCTTTTAAATCCTTCCTTCTAAAATATTCAATTATTTCATTTCAAAATATTTAACTCTTTCAATTGAATTTTTTAATTTAATTTTAAAAATATTTCATTTGCAAAAAAGAGAGAGAGAGAGAAGGCCTCATTTGCAAGCCACGCTTGTGTTGGGTCCAAGGGGTCAATGGCCAAAGAATTTGAGCTGCAGGGCAGCCCCTCCCGGTCCCCATGCCAGCCCCTCCCCAATTCCGTCCCACCGCCTCTGCCAGGCTCACCGATTTGCCCCTCCTGGGACCTGCCGCTACCGAGAGTTTGCACGAAGTAGCGGATTTCCTCCTGTTGAAGTGTCTCACCGTCCCGTTTCTTCCGAATAATTTCCGGGATGCTGATTTGACCTCCTTCCTCGGGGGCCATGGGGCTGGACCCTGCCAAGGTAAAGCAGGGGCCACGGTAAAGATGGGGAGCGGGCAACGATTTGGCAGGAAAAGGGCCAGGGGTGGGATTCAAATTTTTTAACAACTGGTTCTGTGGGTGTGGCTTAGTTGGTGGGCGTGGCTTGGCAGTAATGTGACTGGCTGGGTGTGGCCAACTCAACATCACTCACATTGAGGCATGCATCTCCTCCCCTGGCCTCTTGTGATTGTGGGGATGGTGCAACAGTCGTAAGTGTGAAAAATGGTCATAAGTCACTTTTTTCAGTGCCATTGTAACTTTGAACGGTCACTCCACACAAGCAAAGTACCAGCAAAGGAGGGGGAAAAAACTCCAGAGACGTTCCTGAGACAGGAAGTCTAGTCCTGCCAAGAACGTAATAAGGGTTAACGGAGAGGCAGTTTTTGTAAGCAACACCAGAATGTTTCCTTCCTGCCTTCCTTACAGGATTAGCCCAGTAATTTCTTCTAACAACCGGTTCTCCGAACTGCTTAGAATGTTAACAACCGGTTCTAGCGAATAGGTGCGAACCTGTAGAATCCCATCCCTTGAAAAGGGCTCTTCTCCACCTTGCCCCCCCTCTAGAAAGTGTTATGATCCCCCACACACTTAGCAGAGGGGAAACTGCACTCTGCACATGGACAGAGCAGTTGCGGCCAAGCCACCCTAAAGGATCTTTGTGATGACTCAGGACAAGGCACGAAAGCCACACAGCCAGCTGAGAGTTCAAACTCCCTTTTGATGCTCCAAATTTTGCCTCAAATGCTCCCACGCTCTTGGCAAATCCCAGAGTACTCTGTGTGTGTGTGTGTGTGTGTGTGTGTGTGCTGCGCCCAGTCCAGCAAAACAAAGGAACGGGGAAATGAGTCCACAAAGCAAAGAACAAAGAAGGAGTCCACGAAACAAGGAACAAGGTACTGAGTCCACAATGTCAGGGAGAAGCAAGCAATCCCGCAAACTCCAAATGTCTGTACCGGCACACCAAACTCTACCCATCCAGCGTTTGTTCCCGACAAACGCCCCTCCCCACAGCGTCTGCTTAAATCTCAGCCCCCAAGTGTGCCTTGTGAAGAGGGGCGGGGTGCTCTCCTCCTGAGTAGTTGGGTCAGCGTTGTTCCCACCTTCTCTCCACTCTCCATGCTCAGGGATCAGGAGGGGGCGGTCCTTGCTCATCGCCTGAGCTCTGTCACTCCTCCTATCCACTGCTTGCTCTCTCTCTCTCTCTCTCTCTCTCTCTCTGTCATCCTGCCCCCCCCGTTCTTCCCTGCTGTTCCAATCGCCCCCTCGATCTCCCTCCGTTCCAGCCCCAGCTCATCCTCCCCCTGCAGATTCAGGCACTGATGGGGGCAGGACAGACCTTATTCCATCTCCCCCTGTGTGCCTTGGCTTGAATTGGCCAAGACTCTTCCTTCCTCTGAATATGCAAATGGACATGTCCCCCCAACATCCCAATTTACTAATTATGCATCCTCTCCTTGAAAATTGAGGGGGGGGGGGGGGAAATTACCTGGATGGTTCGGATCTCTTGGGGAAGACATCACCTGTGGAAGGAACAACAATGCAATCGGTTCGATTCTGCTAACACAAACACCGCGGGTGTTAGTAGCCTTCAATAAGGCTTCTAAGCGTGAATTAGTTTTCCTTGGTGCTGGGACCAGCTCAGTCCCAATGAGATTCACAGGCTGGAGACAAAAACCTACGAAGAAGAGGGAGAGAGGGAGGGAGGAAAAAAGAAAGAAGGAAAGAAAGAACAAAGAAAGAACAGAAGAGAGAGAAAGAGAGAGAGAGAGAGAGAGAAAGATCTTTTTTCACAGGCTTCAAAGTTTCCAGCCCAGTTTCTTTTTCCTTGTCCTGAAGCCACTCCAGCAAGAGGTCTGGTCTGGTTTGCTATTGCATTTTCTGGCAAGGGCAGGGAAGGAAATGGTTAGTCACTGTCCCTGTCTGAGAAGAAGCTGGTTTTGCTGAATTTCTCAGCTTGTCCCTTACAGACCTCTTAGGAATGGGGGTGAGGTCAATACTGGTTAGTTTGAGGTTAAAGGAGTGAGGGTTAGAGGATGTAACCACAGAGTCAGGTGGTGCATTCCAGGCATGGACCACTCGGTTGCTGAAGTCGTCCTTTCTGCAATCGAGTTTGAAGCGGTTTACATTGAGTTTGTATCTGCTGTGTGCTCTTGTATGGTTGCAGTTGAAGCTGAAGTAATCACTGACTGGTAGGACATTGTAACATATATATATATATATAAATTGATTTTATATATCCCAGCCAATCAGGATGAAGAAAAAACCATTCTGGCACAGCAGTAGTCTAGCCCCAAATTTAAAACTGAAACAACTGTAAAAGACTCATAGACGAACACAATACAGAAGCCTGATGATGGCAGATGAGATTCTGCCGAAACGTTGCTACAACTTTAAAAGCACAACTATAATGACGTGGGAAAATACCCGAACAAAGCCGAATACCATACATGTAAGTACCCGCAAAAACTTAAGAAAACATATATATATATATACATATATACATACATATAAAACATACATATTTTATGGACAGTGCATTGACTGGGCCAAGTCTTTTTTAAACAACAGTAACAATAATAATACAAATACGGATGTATAATTCTAATCTTCCAACTTCAACAATGCTAGTCTTTTTTCATAATCCATTTATCATTTCCCCCTGAATTCATTTAAACATAAATAACATTTCTTTGCGCCCTGTATTTGTTATCCCTAAATACTATTATTTAATATTTTTTAAAGAATTACTCATTATTCTACCATAACTTCAATATTCCAAATGTCTAGGGTTACTAATAACACCAAATATTAACAATATTTAAATAAATCCCAGGACGGTATCTCAAAATCTCACCCAATTTTAAATTCACAATATACTTTAACACGCTATTAATATTAATAATACAGCTTAATTACCTAATCCTAAATTCCCATCTACTAATCTTCACTTATTTGGGTTATAGTAAATTATATTATCTATTCATGTATATACTACTATTTTCTGAAGCTTTCCTTTTTATTTATGTATTTGTTTGTTTATTTATTTTTATTGAACAATTTTCCTCATTTTATAACACAATTTTCATTGTTTTTGCAACGCTTCAGTATCGGTATACATACAGTTTCCATACATTTTTGTTATATGTGTGTGTATATCTCTATCTCTATCTCTATCTCTATCTCTATCTATCTATCATCTATCTATCATCTATCTATCTATCTATCTATCTATCTATCTATCTATCTATCTATCTATCTATCTATCTATCTATCTATCTATCTATCTCTATCTATATCCATCCCTCCCTCCCTCCCCCCTCTGTCTATCTATCTATGTTATTCCACTAATATGTACAATATGTATTTCTTACTCTGAATATTTTCCCTTTTATGTTTTATAGCGCATCTTTTACATTTATACAATACTATAATATTTCCTATTCTTTAGTTATCTTTATATCTAGTATTTAACCATTGGTTCCATGCATTCCAAATCATAGAGTATTCAGTTTCTCCTCTATCTATCTTTTCTTTCCATTCTCAGTCTATCCATCTCGGAGCGCTCTTAATATTTTCTTGATCACATTTTTTCTCAGATGGTATAATACAGTGCCCATTTTTTCCAGTTTGGCACATAAACAATTCTGTTATTAAGTGTAGCTTTAAGATATTCCAAAGCTTCCCTGAAGCTCCCGCCCAGATTAGGTTGGCCACACCTGGAGAACTCACCGGTCAGCTCCGAGGGTCTCCCTGGGCTGGAGGGGCCAGCAAGACTCTTCAAGGGGCAGAGGAAGAGGAGGAGGTGAGGGTGCCCTTGGCAGAGGCTGAGGAAGAAATCCAGCAGGGTGCAGGCACGGGAGAAGGAGAAGAGAAGGAGAAGAGAAGGGGAGTGGCTGAAACCAGCACTGCTTGGAGCAAAGTAGAAACGAAAGTTTGCCGGAGGTTTTTTTTTTCCCAGAGGCCAAGATTGTGACTGTGCTTCTCTCGCAGGAAAAAAAAAAAAATCAGGGTGGGTTTTTTTTTTGTATTTTTTTGGGGGGGGCCAACCGCTTCCTTGCCAGCCTCCCCTCCCTGCCAGCTGAAGCAAGCGATTGCCCGGGTCCTTTCGCAAGAACATCTGGACATGTTGCAACGGGGTTCCTGTGAGACCTTGGTTAATCTTTGACGTATTGGAGTCACAAACATGTGGGAAGTTAAAAAAAAAAAACCACTAAAAAAAAACACCATGGGTTTTTTTCTTCTTCTACCCATTGCAGTCCTGCTAGCATCTCAGGGGTTCAGACAGCATGGAAGCACCCCAAGCAACTTGGTGTTGAGGGATCTGGATTGGGCTAATAAACATCATTGTTATTATTATTATTGCTATTGCTATTATTGTTGTTGTTGTACACAGCAAATGAGATAACTATGCTGGGTTTCGTATCACAAATCACTAGTTGAACCCTTCCCAAGCGTTTAGGACTGCGTCATGTATCATAAGACATAAGACATAAGACATAAGAATTTATTTGTCATTACACTCGCAAGCGGGTGCAACGAAATGAGGTGCTCTTCCACAAAGTAAAACTGGACAAACACCACTAAAAGAAAAAAAAAATGAACTAAACACAACCAACCATACAATAATCTCTATGCAATTTAAAAATGTAAATACCCCATTACTCTCAGCCATTTAAATTCCACAAAAATCTTATGACCCTGCATTCAAACTCAAAACTGCACTTGGATAAAAACTGTTCTTAAATCTGGTCGTCCTTGTTCTTAATACCCTAAATCTCCTTCTCGATGGTAATAGTTCAAAGAGCTGATGTCCCGGATGAGAGGAGTCATTCAATATGTTAAGTATCTTCCTCTTACGTCTATTCCTATACAGTTCTTCTTCCAAAGAGGGGAGTGAGCAGCCAATGATGTTTTGGGCCGTCTTGATCACCCTCTGAATTGCCTTTTTCTCTGCCACTGTGCAGCTCAAGAACCATACACAGAGACAGTAGGATAATATACTCTCAATTGAACTCCGATAGAAGGTAGTCAGTAGACTCTCAGCCAGTTGTTGTTTCCTAAGAATCCTTAGTAAATACAACCGTTGTTGTGCCTTTTTAATTAAAGCAGCGGTGTTTGCGCTCCAAGTCAAGTCATTTGTAATGATGGTCCCGAGAAACTTACATTCAACCACCTGTTCCACACGAACTCCCTCTATATACAGTGGCTGAATGTCTGCTCTTTTTTTTCCTATAGTCCACTATAACCTCCTTGGTCTTCTTAATATTAAATAGAAGATTATTATTCTTGCACCAGCGGGATAGCTGTAGTACCTCATCCCGATATGCAGACTCATCATCCCCAGAAATAAGTCCTACAAGCGTAGTATCGTCTGCAAATTTCATTATCCTATTGTTGGGATGTTTATTTGTGCAATCAGATGAATAGATGGAGAACAGTAGTGGACTAAGGACACAACCTTGTGGAGTGCCAATGCTAAGTGTCTTGACAGTAGAAATATAATCATTCAGTTTAACTCTTTGTGGACGATTTGTTAAAAAGTCCAATATCCATAAACAAATAGAATCTGGAAGATCTAGATCTTTGAGCTTGGCTATTAATCTGTGCGGTATGGTGGTATTGAAAGCAGAACTAAAATCTGCGAACAACATTCTTACATAATTCCCCGGTGTTTCCAAATGGGATAAGGCCATGTGAAGCACAGTAATAATTGCATCCTCGGTTGATCTATTTTCTTTGTAAGCAAACTGAAGCCCATCAAAGGAATCGGGAAGGCAGGAGATAATATAATTTCGAACTAGCTGCTCAAAGCACTTCATTAAGATGGAAGTTAGTGCCACCGGCCTATAGTCGCTCGGACCATTTGTGGGCAACTTTTTAGGCAGTGGAACGATGGTGGAAACCTTGAGACAAACAGGAACCACACATTGTGTCAAGGATCGATTAAAAATTTCGGTCCATACCCCAGCTAACTGATCAGCACAGTCTTTTACCACCCGACCAGGAATTGAGTCGGGCCCAGCTGACTTTCTGGAATTAACCGCCTTCATTTTCTGCCTCACATCCTGCTCATTCACAATGAAGGGGAGGCTCTGCTGAGTAGATGATGGCAAAGGGACAGTTTCAGTTTGATGGATCTCAAATCGAGCAAAAAAGTTGTTCAGCTCCTCAACCACCGCCGCACTACCATCCGAAGAGACCTTTTTTGCTTTATAGTTCGTTAGTTGTTGAACCCCCTGCCAAACCTGCCTCATGTTATTACTGAGAAAGCAATCTTCAATTCTCCTCTTATATTCGGCCTTAGCTTGCTTGTATCGGCGGATCATGCGAGCGGATCCCAGTAAGGTGGCCTTCTGCAGCTGACCAAGGGTGATCTTGTCAGCGCCAATTGTTTTTAAGTGCTTGCCTAGGTCTTAGGCACAGCACCCAGTGTGCCCAGTACCACTGGAACCACCTGCACTGGTCTATGCCAGAGTCTCTGCAGTTCGATTCTCAAGTCCTGATATCTGGTGACTTTTTCAAGTTGTTTCTTGTCGATTCTGCTGTCACCAGGTATGGCCATGTCGACGATCCACACTTTTTTCTTCTCCACAATCGTGATATCCGGGGTGTTGTGCTCCAAAACTTTGTCAGTCTGTATTATTATTATTATTATTATTATTATTATTATTATTATTATTATTA